AAAAAAAAAAAAAAAAAAAAAAAAAACACATCATAGTAAAACCAATACCTTCTCAGCTTCGCATCGAAGCTAAAAATACAATTTTTTAATTTTTCAGTCATGTGCAAATATTTTATTTGTGTTTGAATTTGATTCTCCCTCTAAACTAGGTTTTTATTTTGTTTTCTTAATTTTTTGATAAAAAAAATTTGTATTTTCAAAATATTTTATTGGGAAAAGAGCTAGTTTATATACAACAAAATAATAGGTAATGAAAAAGCGTTTAAAATGTTGTTAAAATTAGAAAAATTTTTTAATTTTTAAATGCAAGGGGTTATGCTCTTCTACCACATTTTTTTTGCAGTAAATAAATTAAGCCACTTCATAGCAGCTATGCTGGATGATCGACTAGGTAAAAACAAAATCTTTCCAGCTTCGCATCTAAGCTAAGAGAAATTGTTATCGAATAAAAAGTTGTTATTGAGAAAATTATATTTTACCACTAGTTAGTGCAACCATAAAAGATGGATGTTGTCTTCGAATTGGTGGTTGATAAAGTAGGATAGCTTTTTCACCAGTTGTTCGAAAACTAAATGCTATGTCCCCTTTTCTCCATCCAGGAACTTCTATATAAGACTGACTTGTTGTAAATGTAACTACATACTTTTGTGTATCTACAAAAATATAAAAATTTCGTAAATATTTTTATTTATTATTTAAATATGCATTTTTAATAAAAGAGGTATTCTATGTATTTTACTCGTTTCTACACATTCTAACGGGCCCAATGTAATTCGTCCTAGTGCATCAGATTGTAAATTTTCTTGTTGTAAGAATACCATTTTCGTTATACCTAAACCTCCATATTTTGAAGTTTGATAGAAACCTTCATCGGAATGCCATTTAGCATCAAGAAAATCGCAGTTACAAGAATGTGTACGATTTAAACAAGTTTTATTAACTGAAAAAAAAAAAATTTTTATTATTGATTAAAATTTGTTGTAGAGGGACAATACCATCATATTCGACCATTCAGATATCTAATAATAATATACTATAATATTAATTTATGTAAAAGACAGAAGCAGATAGCAAATTTTTCAGGGGGGAAAAATTTAATTACCAAAATAAATTACTATGATAAAAAAAAAAAAACCAGTACAGGGGGGTCGCGGCAGTGGTGACGTGGCATAATTGGATCAAGTATAATGATATCTGACAGTAATTAAAATCACTATCAAAAAAAAATCGCTTCGATGCAAATCTTTAGATAGTGTTTAATTTTAAAAAATTGGTGGATTATTCGAAAAGCCACATGATCTGCTAGTTCTTTATTAATATCCTGATTAAGATAAAGTATGTCGAATGAAAAAGAGATTATTAAAAAATATTATTTCTCATAAAAAAATTGTGTTGATCCATACACTTTTCAATAAGTTATAGCATTATAAAGTTAAAAATTAAAAAAATAAAATCGAGAATTTTCATACAAAAATAGCATATGATAGCCATTTTCATCGTGAAGACAAAATAAAGTCCCCCCTGTATTAAGGGATATAATCCGATTTAAAAAACAAGTATGTCGAATTAAAGAGGCATTTAAATATTATTTCTCATAAAAGAATTGTATTCAACCATACATTTTTCAAAGATTTATAGCGTTATAAAGTTAAAAATATGAAAAATAATTTTTTTACAAAAATCGTATTTTTTTTATAACTTTGATGACTGTTTGACCATGAAAACAAAATAAAGTCCAAAATTTTTTTTTTAATATTAAAGTATATTACATAAGCTTTAATTTAAGATATATATAAATATGTCAGTATTTCCGAAACACTTTCAAAAATTAAGTTGAAAAAGTTCTACCTTCTATATGCTTTTTTTGTTTTGAACCCCCCCTGTATTGAGGGAAATAGTCCGATTTAAAAAAAAAGTATGTCAAATGAAAGAAGTATATAAATATTATTTCTTATAAAAAAATTATATCGAAATTACGGATATTTATCAGTAAGAGCATGTTCCCAAGCATAAACCATCTACTAAGTATATTTATTGCGACCGAAATACATATATGTAGGGATCGGTGCCACTGCTGATTCAATAATGGTGATGGTGAGATGTTAACTATTTATAGTCAGTAATCAATTGATACATTTAAAAAAAATACAAATGCAAGATTACCTGAACATGGGCAAGATCCTCGTTTCGCATTGCCAATAAAATTAATAATTTCATCTTGTGCCGCAGATGTAAACCATGTAGCTGAATGAAGATCCAATGGAGCTTTATAGCAGTCATACTTAATGTATTGACTACAATGTAATGAATGTAATATAAGTTCTTTTAACATTTCAGGTGGAAAATCTCTATACGTTATTGTAAAACTAAAATCTGATTCTGCAGCACTTCTTACGTCCTTTAATAAATCAACACGAAAATATATAATGCAACTATATAAAATTCTCCATATCCATGAATTGTTATATAAAATTTCAATTACAATTTGGCTAGGTAAATTATGTTCTACAATAGTTTTTGAATCTCCTTGAGCACCAAATTCACATTTGACATGACCTGGAGGGAATTTGCCGTTGCCATCAATATCAATTAAATAAACATCAGGTTTGGTATATCCTAAAAGGGCAAGTTCTTCACACGTCTTACGAAATTGAGCTAAACCAGATATTTTTTTATATTTTTCATGTAAACTATAATTCGAATATAAAGTAAATTCTTAAAAAAAAAAAAATTTGAATTTCATTACCAAAATGACAATTTTTGCCAATATATCCAGTACCCTTACAATCGCAAATAACCTCATCATCTACTACGGAACATTTACCATCATGCTCACATGCATTTGGTCTTTTACACGGATCAACTAATTGACAATTATCGATAGATATTTGACCTGTTGTTCGGTTTGTTTTTACCATGTACCTTGCTTCTAAAAAATCACCATCAAGCCAAATTTCTCTTATACAACCTACAAGACCTGCCAAATAAAAATATAAAAATAAAATTAATTTTAGTTTACTTAAATGTTATTTTTTACCAAAACTTCCTTTTCCTCCAATTCCACTCCCAATAGTTATTGTTTGGTCAGCCAAAAAATGTTGAATACCATTAAGAAATGTAGTCTTATTATTGCCATTTACATTTAATGTAAGTAAACCTTTGGTATAATTAAGAGATATCTTATGCCAAGATCCTTCGATATTCAAGTCATATTTCACAGTCATTAATTGTGTTACATTTTTACTAGATGATGGTGTAAGTTCAAACCGTATTTCATTATTAACCATTCTTAACTTAGTTCATGAAAATAGACATCTTAATGTTAATATTTTAAAAGTTTAAATTAACCTCAGCTTAGGTACCTCCCAAAATCCGGATGAATTCTGAACCGAGGTAGTGACAGATGAAGATACTAAAACAGCCATGTGTTTATGACTTTTAAAATCAAACATTAAATTTATATGATTTTGAGATGCTACTGGCCATATAATATGAGAAGAAGGAAATGGTAAAGTTATTGGTATCATATCAACTTCCATTTCAGTCAATTCTGGTGATAAAATACCAATGTAGTGTACTTTAGGATTTCCTTTTTTTAACTCGTAAAGAATTGATATGTCATTGAAAAATACGTATTTTAATGATCCAACAAAATTATTGTGTGATTTTAAACCTGAAAATAATAATGTTTTATTATGTTGATTATTATCCCATGCATAAGATATTTTAATGGAAAGGGCTTAATATTTTTGGCCCCTCTCTGCATACGTCTCTAGTTGATATAAGAACCTTATTAGATATGTGTTTATTATAATATTTAAATTAAAACAGCAAATTTTCATCTCATTTTTTTTTTTAGTTAAATCAAATTTACATAATGACATTAAAATTATACCTGGTTTATTAGATAGCGATGGACCACCCCCAAAATAAATTTCTGGATCAATATAAAGATAATTTTTAACTCCTGCTAAAGTATAACTTATTATTTCTTCATTGAAAATTATGTCAACATTGTTATCTTTATGTAAAATTGTTAAATTGTTCCATTGATTCGAATTTGTGTTGTTGCCAAGAGTTGCAACTATTGGTTCACCATCTCCTAATTCAATTTCAACCAAAACTGATCCATTATATATAGACGTGGCAATGTGATGGTGTTTATGAGATTCACCACTGGCATAAAATAACGCAGAATCATCAAATCTAGTTTTAAACATAAAACTTATTCGGCTCATACTTGAATGAACTCGATCTTTCCAATCATATACACGATATGACACGTAAGATGAACCTCGAAGAGTTAAGACCGTAGAAGCTATAACAAAATTCATTAGTCTTAAATTTTTTTAAAAGTTTTTTGACCATTTTATAAGGTCAAGAGTTCGGTTTTATAAGTCTTAAATAAAAATATAAGATTAAAATATTTATAATATATAATTTTAGTTTTAAATAACTTAAATGAAGTATAATTATTTTAACAAAAATTTATCTAAATAAAAATATATTTTAAAATTTAACTTTTAATCTAAATATAGACAAAAATTATTTGTCTCAAATCTAGATGACATGCAATTAATCACTATTTTTTTTTTTTTTTTACTTAATTGACTAATTTTTAAAAAACAATTTTTTTAGATAATTGAAAAAAATACTTAAAAGATTTTTAGATAATAATTTATAAATGAATGTATTAAAGATAAAGAATTCTTTTATTTTTATTTTGAAATATATTATAAAAATTATCAACACTTATTATTTTAAAAAATAGTTTTAATTTATTTTAATTTACTAATTTAAGTTTTAAAATATTCATTCATTTGTTAAGTCTTTAGTAAAAATATTATTCAAAATATTACCATATATATCGCAGTATTCCCCTTCGTACAATGTTCCGAAACAATCACACGATAGTTGATTATAATGATTAATACATAAACTTCCTTTAAAACAAATATTATCTTCAGTTTGACATCTGAAAATAAAACGCAAAAAGTAAAGCACAGTAGAGATTTAGTAAAGCGAAGTTAAGGCAATTTTTAGATTAGTATTCATTGATATCTAACATTGATTAAAATTCCTGTCGTATAACGTTTCAATACGTATTTGAAACTTATTAAAAATAAAATTTAAGGCATCTACAGAAAAATTAATGGTTTTTGACATTAGAGGTTGATTATTCCAAGAGGACAAGTCGCCGGAACGTTTTTCTTTGTTGGTCATATAATAATATTACATTAGGCAAACTTTAATTTTAAATAATTTAGAATGATGTAAATATGCCACTACTTTAGAAAATATTACAAAATTGGTAATTTTTTCGGAAAATTGTATGATTTTTTGATTAAATGACTGATTACTCCTAGAAATCATGATTTTGGATAGTTTTTATCATTTTATCTTACAGTCATTGGCATATTGCGGGTTCCGTAATATACCCCTTGAAATGTTTTATTAGGGAAAAAACTTTTTCAATTTACCTCGATATATATTTTTAACTCATTTATTAAAAAATTAAAATATGTAGAAAGACAAGAACATAAATCATAAATAATATGACATATATTTTTAATCTAGTTAAATTAAAGATTCATCAGCTATAACGTCCCCTAAAGATTCAGGGGCGCCCTTTCGATGCGTCTTGGGGAAATCTAGCTCAAATAGTCCCTTATGAAGACACGTTATTGCTTAAAGTACATTGCATAGTCTTTCATTTGATGTAAGTTTAAAGAAGGTAAGTTTTTAAGAACAAAAATATGTCGACTCAAAGGTACTTGTCTAAAATGTGACATGTTACTGTGTTTCCCTCAGTTGATATCACGTTATCAACTTATATGGAAGTGAATCGGGATCTGAATTGTTGAAAAAAGGTACATTGTTGAGTTTCAGTGAGTAAGGCTTGTGTCAACGCTGAAGCAATACCTGAAGCAATACCTCGCGGTAGTTCCAGGGCAGTCCACATCATGCCGACATGTGGAAGAAGAAAAAAAAAAAAAGGCTTGTGTCAACGCGCTGGTTTATGCCGGCGCCTTAGGTAGTCGTGATTTTATGTTTTATGTTCTATGTATTGAGAGTTATTTAGAGGTATGGGCCGCCTTGAAGCCCTGAAAAAAAAGCTTGGTCTCAATGACGCCTGGTTACATAGATTCTACCCGTATCGTATTCCTTTTTTTCACACAATTTCCGGTACACTTTTAATGACTAACCGTCAATCCCCGACGACTGAGTTAAATGTTACTACTGAAACCTTCCTTCAGATCCATGCATTATACAAATGAAGCAATTTAATAAAAAATATCATGCTCAGAAAAAATTACTCAACTATATATTTAGAGGTAGAATACTCATAGAAGATAAGTTGTTGGAACTTAATTATTTTTAATTAGTATAATACATAAAATCATTTAGATATGATTTATCTTTAAATGGTGTAGATGATCCGTTGATATACATAAAACTTTTGTATGATTAAAAAAATTGTATGATTGTTGGATTTATGTCCAATAACTTCTAAAAATCGAAAATTATGAAGTTTTTTATTTTTTTATCCTGAAGTAAATTGCATTATCATTAATTTGATGTAGGTTTAAATAAATATAGTTAAAAAAAACTGAAAAACACACTTTTAAAGCATATTGAACTAATTCCTCCATTTCTTATTTGGTTTTCCACTACCTCTTCTTCCTTCAGCATTCATTTCAATAACTATTCTTACAGCTTCCGATTCTTCTCTCCTCATAACATGACCATCTAAGTCTATTTTCTCTCATCTTATTCACGATTGACCTATACTCCCTCTTATATGCTCGTTTCTTATTCTATCTTTTCTAGTCAATCCACTCATCCATCTAAACATTCTCAACTCTGCTACAATCATTCTCTGCTCTACTTTCTTATCAACCGCCCAACACTCTAAACCATACATCATAGCTGGCCTCACTACAGTCTTGTAGAATTTACCTTTCAGCCTCATTGGAATTCTTTTATCGCATAAGACGCCAGACGCCTCTCTCCATTTCAACTACCCGCACTTAATTCTATGTATTACATCCTCGTCAATGCCACCACTCTTTTGCAAAACTGACCCTAAATATTAAAACTCTCCACCTCTTTAATCAAGTCTTCGCCTATTGTCACTGACCTACTCATTTCACTTACCTCGTGTTCTCCTTTGTCAAACGCGTACTCTATATACTCTGTCTTACTTCGACTTATTCTTAAACTTTTTTTTTCAATAGCTGATCTCCACACCTCTAGCCTTTGATTAATTTCCTCCCTATTTTCTCCTAATTACACTATATTGTCAGTTGTTTAAATATATAATTGTAAATTATATATATATATATAATTGATGACATGCACTCATGTACGGGTACGAAAACCAAAAATAAAATTATACAGGAAAATATTGTTATCGTGAAGTGGTGAGCGAGATGGGGTGAATGCGTTACGACAGTCTAGTCTCAAGGTCATAGACGATGGGATACGCGAGAATAATAACACGTGGCGCGTGGAGAGTTACACCAAACTTACAACAAACAAACAACAAACATACATGTGAAACTAATATAAGATTATTGAAAAAGGTTTTTTGAAAAAAATGTTATTGAATAAAATCGATACATTAGGAGCGTGGTAATGGCATATACGGATAAAAAAAAAAGACACTAAAACTAATAGCTTCTCAGCTACGTATTGAAACTAAAAATAGTTAATTAACTGTTTTCTAATAAAAATCTTACTTATCGATACATCCTTCTTGGACATTATCATGTTTAGTAGCAATTAATGGTTTTATCGGTAGTAAATCGGACGCAGCTTTACCAGCACTTAATACCATTTCTTTTATACATCCTACAAATGATTCTATTATATATTTTACACCGTGTAGTTTTTCTTCAGGACTAAGACCTTAAAAATATAAAATTACTTTAATGTGTATGCACACGGAGTGCTATTAAAAACTTTCATATTTTAATGTTTCACTATATAGTGTAAATTGCGCGTATGCATAAGTAATGCATGTCTTGCAATTTTTAGATTTCTTAGAAATAGTTTATTTACTACTTAAATTTAGTAAAGGAATAAAAATATAAACATTTAAGTGAAATGTTCTGATGCCCTCTACTATATGATTACCTAACACACACTCGGCCTGAATTTATAATTATACGAATATTTATATAATAATATTTAAATTTGTTTATGTCGACTTTGTATTTGAAAAATATATCGGAATTTACCTTACCGCCAATTAAAACAACCGAAGTCAAATCTGTAGAAATACCATAATTACTACCCATATGTAGTCCTTGTATAATTTTTTCAGAACTTATATTATCGACTTTAGCTATAAGTCGTGCACCGTGTACATCTATTCGGACCGTGACTGTGTGCCATATATCATGATTTAATCCTAAAAAAAATTACATAGTTTGACAGTTAACAGCCATCAAATAATATGCATAGCTACTAATACTAATTATAATTATATACAATGTGATATTAAATTACTTTTCATAAGGAAAATTCAGTGAAAAAAACAAAGGATATACTTTCTATCTCTAAAAAATTTACGATTCCCAAACCGACGATATATATGACCTTTATTAATTGGTTTTAATAAAACTTTAAAATAATAAAATATTATAATATTAAAAGTTATATTAATTTTATTATACCTAATACCGTATTAAGCATAGGTTTTGGCATATAGAATAATACAATTCACTGACATAATGAGGTTTAAATCCGTCATACTATCCTCGGTATTATTCATGTTAGTAGTGGTAGTCAAATAATTTTTCCATAGGAGGAGATGAAGAACCTTTATGATAAAAAACTTTGGGGGAGCTGTACCTCATACTTTTAAACTATTTATGAATATATTAAATATATCGACATGCTACTAAAGATGAATATGTACACATGACTTTGTTCTAATTAATCCTATTTCAAACATTTAATTTATTTTTAAATAGCACCTCGTTGAATTTACCCACACATAGATTAAATTAAAAAGAATAAATACCACCAAGACTTGAAATTTAATCTCCAAAGTTTAATATAATGTTAATTTTTTCATATGAGTTATATTTAATAACCTTTAAATGAAACTATTAAAAATTATTTGAAAAATGTTCTAATTTTTATGAAAATTGTAAAAAAAGTCAACAAAGGTATTTCAATGGGAGGAAGTTTATCTCACTAATCCTCTCTCATTTGACTACCACTGCACGTTAGTTTTTTTTATTTATTAATTATCTATTTAAGGTGAATACACATTATAATATTACATTAAGTTGTTTTTAATACATCAAAATTAATATGACTTGATAAATAAAAAGAATCTTTGATATAAATTAATTTAACCTTTATGTGACTGAAAAAAAAAACAACTTCTTATGACGGTGTAGTTACCCGGGTACCTACAATATAGTTATCTGTGCTTTTCCGGTAAATTATTTCATTGTCGTCAGTCTATCGCTTTTATACCTTATTATATGTAATTCTTCTCGTATCTGGTGTACATAGATCTAATAAAGAACATGTATCAGAAATGTGGAAATTAGACTCGTTACCTCTCATTCGAGCTGCAATGTCTCGAGATCGATTTAAAATGTTGCTAAGGTTTATTCGTTATGATAATGTAAACACTCGTAATATACGTATTACAACAGACAAAGCTGCACCGATTCGTGATATTTGGACATGCTCAATCAAAACTTACATAAAAATTATAAACCTACAGAAAATATAACAGTAGACGAACAATTATTTCCTTACAGAGGACACACAAAATTTACACAGTACATTCCATCTAAACCTGCAAAATATGGAATAAAGGTTTTTTGGGCTTGCGATGCAGCAAATGCTTACCCTTTGCATGGTAAAATTTACACTGGCAAACCACAAGATGGTAAACGTTAAGTAAATATTGGTGAAAGTACAGTTCTAGACTTAGTTGCGATGTATAAAGGTTCTGGACGAAATGTGACTACAGACAACTTTTTTACAAGTATGCAATTGGCTACTACATTAAACTCTTGGAATATGACATTGGTTGGTACTGTCAGAAAAAATAAAAGATTCTTGCCTCCCAAAATGCTTCCATCAAAAGCCAGAGCGTTACATTCTACAAATTTTGTATTTAGAAAAGATATAAATATTTCTTATGTTCCAAAAATAAATAAATCGATTATTCTTTTATCTACAATGCATATGACAGCCGACATAATGCAAGCTGCTACCGCTAAATCAGAAATTATAAAATATTATCAGACAAAAGGAGGAGTAGAAAAAATGGATAAAATGTTAACAGAATACACAGTAAAGCGAAGAACTAATCGTTGGCCACTTGCATTTTTTTTCAACATGATTGGTATTGCTGCTTTATCTGCATATATTATATATATGGAACACAATCAAAGGTTTAACACAACTGATCGACGCCGAAAATTTTTGAAAGAGCTTGCAAATCAATTATGTATGCCTGCAATAGAAATTCGAACCTCCATACCTAAAGTAGTAGGAAATCGATATACTCGTAATTCAATGGAAATGGTTCTCGGACGGCCAATACAACAGATAATTGCTATTCCTAAAAATGAACCACCTCGTGATGCTTCAGGACGTATTCAAATAGTTGGAAGTTGCTTAGTATGTCGAGAATTGGGTTATAAGCAACGGAAAACTCGAAAAGCTTGTTCAACTTGCTCAAAGCCTATTTGCAATGAACACTCAATAAACAAATCATTTTGCGAAACTTGCAATTAACAAAAAACCTAAATATGTCATAATACTTACTAAATATGCAAAAATAACATTTTTGTTCTCTTAATATTTGTATCTATTTTAATGATGTCCAGTAAAAATATTTATCAATGGTAATTTAACTTTTTTTTGTATCAATAAAACCTACATTTAAATACAATATATAGAGGTACCCAGGTACCTACACGTCCTTATAAGGTGTAAAATTAACAACGCTATTTTAAGTACAATAAATTATATACTTTTCAAATACAAAATATAAATTTGTTAACTATACATGCTATTTAGAGATGTCACAGAAGGACTAACCATACATACTAAATATTTAGAAGAAAAATAAATTTAAAAACTGAAAAGGTACCCGGGTACCTTTCCAGTCACATAAGGGTTAATACAACTGAAAGTCTATATGTGATTCACAGCAAAAAATACGCTATCGGTAAACTTATAAGCCTCTATATACAGGAGCGTATTCAGGAAAAATGAAGAACATAAATCCTCCAAAACAAAAATAAGAATGCTAATAATAAAGAAACCAGAACCGAGACAACCGAGACAGAAAACGTAATGCATAATATTATGATTATATCGAAGTACACATTCCATTAATGACGTCTCGTTGTTTAAACGACGGGACGATAGCACCCCCCTATTATACCTAATTAAAAGAAAAAAAATAATTGTACATTCTAAATTCGAAATTTTATTAGAAATGCAAGTTTTAAGTAGTAAAATAGTTATATAGGCCAGTTAACGAAGGAGTGATTTTGGTGAATGGCGGAAAAAATTCCCAACCAAATTTTTTTTTTTAAAAAAGTTGAATTAAAATATGTATAATGACACACTAAAAGTCCTCATTGATTGGAATTGAGCTTTTTTTTAACAGCCTTGCAAAAGTTAAAAATATGAGCTTTATTAATTTTCTCATAAAATATTTAACTTACAAAAAAAAGTTGTTTAGAAGACAATTTTAAACAAAACAGATGTCTTTTATTTCTTTATTTAAACTAATATTTTTCGAGTTACATTACATTTAATATGAGTACTAAAATTTAATTTCCATTTTTTCCATTTTACGGTTACTTTTTATCATTACTTACATTAGACACAATGTTATTTAGTATTTAGGATCAGTTGTACAAAAGAGCGGTGGTGTTGACGAGAATGTAAGACACAGGATTAAGTGCGGGTGGTTGAAATGGAGAGAAGGGTCTGGTGTCTTATGCGATAAAAGAATTCCAATTAGGCTGAACGNAACCGCCCAACACTCTGAACCATACATCATCATAGCTGGCTTCACTACAGTATTATACAGGGTGTTCAGTAAGTCAGGAAACGGGTTTCTATTGTTCTCATTGTTACAAACAATGAGAACAATAGAAACCCGTTTCCTGACTTACTGAACACCCTGTATAATACTTTAGTGAAGCCAGCTATGATGATGTATGGTTCAGAGTGTTGGGCGGTTGATAAGAAAGTAGAGCAGAGAATGAGTGTAGCAGTGATGAGAAGGCTTAGATGGATGAGTGGAGTGACTAGTGGAGATAGGATAAAGAACAAGCACATAGGAGGGAGTATAGGTGTAGCGTCAATCGTGGATAATATGAGAGAAAATAGACATAGATGGTTTGGTCATGTTATGAGAAGAGAAGAATCGGAAGCTGTAAGAACAGTTATAGAAATGAATGTTGAAGAAAGAAGAGGTAGTGGAAGACCAAATAAGAAATGGAGGATGTTATTGAATGCGATATGAGGACAGCTGATATGAGCGTAGATGATGTGGGAAATCGTGTTAAGTGGAAATTTAGGATAAGGATGGCCGACCCAAAGTAGTTGGGATTAAGGCGAAGAAAAAGAAGAAAATTACCAGAAATTCCGGTGGTAATTGATATAATATAATTGTTATTTGGAAATGTACAATTTAGCGTTTGGTTGGGTTTGAACAACATAGCGTCAAATCAATTACCTACTCTATCGGTTGTATCTTAATATACACTACACTTTAATGATACTAAAATAAATAAACTCACACATACACACATATGCATTTATAACATTGTGTATAATGTAAGTATAACACGATAAAAAGTAGCCGTAAAATGAAAAAAATGAAAATGAAATTTTAGTACTCATGTTAAATGTATTGTTACATTAATAGTTTAAATGAAGAAATAAAAGATATCTTTTTTGTTTAAAATTGTCTTCTAAACAACTTTTGTACGAAACTTTTTTTTGTAAGTTAAATATTTTTTGAAAAGTTTAAAAAAGCTCCTATTTTTTAACTTTTGCAAGGCTGTAAAAAAAATGTTCTATTCCAATCAATGACGACTTTTAGTGTGTCATTATACATATCTTAATACAACTTTTTTTAAAAAAAAAATTTGCTNAAAAAAGCTCCTATTTTTTAACTTTTGCAAGGCTGTAAAAAAAATGTTCTATTCCAATCAATGACGACTTTTAGTGTGTCATTTGTATAATGACACACTAATTAAGATATGTATTAAGATATGTATTATCTTAATACAACTTTTTTTAAAAAAAAAATTTGCTGCTGGGAATTTTTTCCGCCATTTTTCTTTTGTTGACTGGCCTAATAATACATTTGTCGTGTGCGAACATTAAAGTTGTTTCCCTCAGTATTTGCGGTACGCTTACACACGAGCAGTGTTTGGACAACCGGCAGCATCTTCCATACGGTAAAATATTAGTATACCACTATATTGGGTAATTTATTTTAGAATTAATTGCGTGAACGCTCGTCGTTATCGGTTGCTATAATAGAATAATTGCTATTATTACTTTTATTTCTATTTTCTGTTACGACCTTTAAAAATATTATTATATGTATTGTAATTTACTTTATTATATTTAATTTGGAAGTTTTTTATACCTATGACTAGTGGTATTATATTTAAAGTCTCATCCCCACTACCGACACTCACGAGCCACCACTGAATTGCATAGTACATGTCAATATTTAATCATATACTATAATTATACTTAAAAGAACAGATGAATTCATTCATTAACGTTGCTGAAATGAAAATGTTTAGAAGCCTCACTAATTTTTCTCTTAGAAAGCTAAGCTCAGAGTATAGAGTATTGGATTTTAACAGATTTTGAGTGCGTTTTTTAAACCAAGATTACAGTCGTCTTAAAAATAAAATTTCATTTCATTTAAGTTTTCATACAGAAAAAATATTATATTAATAAATGGCTTTTCTTATAAACCGAATCAGGGTACTCACAATTTTTTTTACGAAAAATGATTACGACCATTCTATTGTTAATATTTGAAAATAAAATAGTAATTAACGACTTACCTTCTCCAACTATTACTGACGTTGAATGTTTACCATAAACATGAACTACTTTTAGTTGACCCTTTTCTACAATAACATATAATGCATATGGAGGAAGACCAGCAGGTCTATCTTTCACACTATGATACACTAAAAGTCCGTGAGGTAAACGTGTACGAAATTGAAATGAAATCTCACGACACAATCTAATTATGTTTTTTAAATAAAAATACTATTTTGTAATAAAAATTATGTAAAAAAAATAGTCTTGCCTAAGTTGAAAAGTAGGAATCCGATTACCATCTAGTTGAATAAATGCATTATTTTTAGCCATCATAAATACTGTATGATAACCACTTTCTGCGAATGTTAATTCTGCTCCCCTATCGTCAAATGCAATTGGTGCCAAAGTAAATGTATCAAATTCATACTTTTGATTTAAAGATCCCAAATAATGGTTAGTATAATTATGATCTAAGATAAGGGCAATCAAATATTTAGCATATAAGGAAAATTTTAGCTATTTACTTTTACCGCCGACACAAAAGTACAAGCATTCTGCTTCAGAGTCAAACATATTTTCACTTTTACAGGTACCACTTAAGTAAATTTTACATTCATATAAAATTGAATCGAAATACCATTTATGTATCCAGTTTTGACAAGGCCCCTTAACAACAGGGACACCGCATCGTTCTATATGCAAAGATCCATACAATTCAGATAAAAATAATTTTTAGTATATAATAAAGCACAAACCTCTTGAATTATCCAATCCTTTTATATGTATAATAGATAGTATGAGCACCGTATTAAAAAATAATATGTGCATTTTATTTTTTCTAAAATTTAACCATCTCTTAAAATTTGTTATTAAACTACTTACTAAATTGTTAGTCTTTGTAACAAGTTACAACATTATGGTGCAGTTACAAAAAGGAAACTGTAAGTTACACATTGCACAATAGAATAATAGCCCATTCAATTAAATAGCCAATTGGATTTAATTTTCTAGTGAGTCACAAGTATAATAACATTTTATTATTTGTTATAAAATTACAATTGAAATAATACAAAAAAATAAATATATAATCAAATTTAATACATTCAAGCAAAAAATATTCACAAAAAAAACTAAATAATATATAATACTAGGTCTAATTATTATATTACATATAAAATAAAAACTATAACTCATATTCTTTTATTTATTGAATTAAAATACATTATTTTAATATTTACTTAAGAAATTTGAAAAAGGAACTGACAATTATTACAAATCATAAACATAGAATTAACATCTGGTGCTGGAAAAACTGAACACTGAATTCTTGCTTGGCAAAATCGGGAATGTTCAGTAGCTGTAGCTTCTAAATTTTTTTTTAATGTCTCTAAATCAAGGTTTGTATGAATGGAAGTGAGACATACATCACATGAAATTTTTTTGTCAATTGATTTGATATTACCAGTTTGACAAACAGGACACTCAATTAAATCATTTTGTAAATTTTGTAAATACATAGTATACTCAGAATCTTGCGCAACAATCCATTTCACTACATAGAAAAAATAAAACATAAAAATCAAAATAAAGGAAAACTTAACATATTACAAGTATTTATATTTATAGTACAAACTTTCTTCATCTAATAGTTCTTGTTTAATCTCATCAATAATTTGTTCTTCTTCATCTAATGAGTGAAATCCATCATCATCTTCAACTTCCATTCTAGAAAAATTGGATGATTTAAATTTAATTTTTTCTCAACTTAAAAGTATTTTTATATTAGATCATAAATATACAAATTAAAATATTATACACTATATAAGATTTTAGAAAAATGTGAAATAATAATGAGTTAAAGTTAAGTTGGATATTTCAGAAACTCATCAAACACCAAAAGTACAAAAAATAAGTTAGGTATAATTTTTTTATTTTATGAATGTAAATATTGTTAAATGTAAGTATCAGTTAAATGTTGTACTATTATAGTTGTTTAACTTAAGATAAAATAATGTGTTTCTGCATTAAACCGCAATAAATTTTATTCAGCTGTTAAGAATAATTGACGATTTATGGTATATTTATAAGAAGGGCTCCTATTTTATATAAAACTTGAAAAATATTTAAATTTTGATACAATAAGAGGTAGTAAAAAAGTATTTTCATATAAAATACTCTAGGATAATTTCTAAATAGTAACAGTAAAAAATTGATTATTTTGATAGCAGAGTGTATTTAATTATGTAATTAAGATAATATTATACTACACATATATCTGGCATATTTAAAAATGTATAGGGGTCCAGATAAAGTATAAAGTGGGGATATTTTACCTCTCTTTGACTCATTCTCTACTATGATTTTGTGTATGGAGGAGGGTCAGAAAGTCTGTAAGCACAAGAACTTCCTCGTACATACGCTACTGATATAATAATAAATAATAAACATTAAAATACCATAGGTTTTAGTTTGTAAATGATATAATATTGAATAATTAGTAAAATATATGGATATAAAAGATAAAAAGTCATAACTTAATGAAAAATGATTAATGAATAAAAAATTAATAAAATGAGTTTTCATTTTATTTAATTACTTAAAATTGGTTTGATATTCTTTGAGTAAGCTTAAGTTAAGACAAAGTTAATATTATTTTATTCTTACTTAATACATGTCTTATCAATGAATGATGTGACCTCATTTTCTCGCATATCATACGATACATTACGTACTCGTTCTAAAAGTGTTTCACGTTTATTTTTCATTAAGTTTCGATACCTCTAAAAATAAAAACAAAAGCAATTAATGTTCAACCTTTTAAAATATTAATATTAAATCTGTCATTAAATAAAATGACATACTTCTCTTAAAATATCTCTAAAATTAGTTTCTCGATTTTTTACACGTTTATAACTAGCAGCTCGATTTTTTATTTTAGAATCAACATTAGACATGACTATTTATTATAAAAAATTGGTTTTAAAACAGTTAAATTAAGTTTTTTATAACTTGTTAAAAAACTGAAATAAATTTTTTATAATTGCTATGAAATTAATCTCCTAAAAAACTGATAATATGTACACTCACGTCACTGATAAAAATAGAGCGGGAAAATGCAAATTTAACTAGAAAATGATATGGATTTGAAATTTTTTTTATCATATATATAATTAAAATCAATGTTCGAAACGTTCACTAAAAACCTAAAAAGATATAAAAGTCATACATTTAATGGCGTAATTGGGGTTTATGATATGAGGTTTTATAAATAAGACAAGTTTTTACTAGCCTAGAACCAAAAAAAATTAAAAATCAGAAAATTATTGTGCACGTTTTTTTATTTGAATCCGTTAAAAATTAAAAGAAAATAATTATAAATATTTAAAGTTATTGTAAACAATGTACTAATGCTTTGCGTGTTTTCTCCATGTTCTTATATTTTTAGTGTCTCAATGATTAAATCAAAATTAGACTTTGCAAGATAAAAAAACGTTTATTACAGCTCATACAGTCAGTACATTATCATTTAACGGGTATTATATAGCTTGAATTTTTTATTCAATTTCATTATGCCAATTGGTCATAATTTCGAAGTAACCATAATATTATTTTTGAAATTATATAAATGACCCTAAAATTGTTCAAATTTTTTAAAAATGTAAATGACGTATACCAATGCAAACGTGGCTCATAAACGACGTTTTTCCCAAACAGTAATTAGAATCATAAATAACAACCCTTAACCCTTCTTTAATTCTTACAATTCTTACCCTTCTTACAATTTGTAATTGGGATGGGTACTTCATTTTAAGTAGTGGTGTGACTAAATAAAGGGATTCTTTAGTAAAGTACCCACAGATGCAACGAAAAGGTCACTTCTTTGGTCTTTGGGAGTATTAACTCGAAAAAAAATAGTAAAAATGTATGTAATGCTTACATTATTTATAATTTACTTTCTTGCGTTTATGTATATTTTAATTTTTTTAAGCTAGAAATTATGTTAGGTACAAGCTATAAATAAATTGCTTTTTTTGCTCAACAAAAAGATTCAAAAAGGCATTAAATACAAACAGCCCCAGGACGCTTCAACCCTTAATACGCAACTGATTTTAAGTAATTCAAATAATTTTCCCAATATCGTTAATAATAATAAAATAATAGTATAAATTAGAGCAATTGATGGCAAAAAACATAAAGCTATAGTTTAATTATTTTGTTAGATCGATTTCATCATAACTTCTGTGCTTAAATTATATTTTCCATTAGTATAACTAAAACAGCAATTGCATGGGGTTAATCTACCAATTAAGGTTAGTAAGATCAATGCTTCATTTTTAAACATTTAAATCATTCATGTAGTTTTTATAAAATCAAATTAATAGAGCACTCCCCACAAAAAAATTGGATAAAAATTAATTTCATCTCGACCAATTTGTAAAAATACCTATTTTTAGTTTATTATTATTTTTTTTAATTTGAGCGATTGTTATCCAATTTTGGATATAGGCTTTTGGATCCTTAGAACGAATTTGTAACGTGAATGGGATACCCACAGTAAAATTAAATCAATTATTTAATTGATATTAGTTATAACAGGTAAAATTTTTTCTTTAATTCCTAAAATAAAACAAAAATGTAAATCAAATGATTTTACAGATTATTTTTTGAATTATAATGTATTTGTTTTCCAAGAATTATCTGATTGACAGAAGTGCCAGACTGTTGTTGGTTCGCTCATATTATAATACAGTTTACATCTAGTTAAAAATTAATGGGTAATATGTATTTGGTATTTAAAAAGTTGGTTAGTGCTTCGTAAAAATGCCTAGCACTGTAACATTCCACACGAATATTTTAAATAAGATAACCAGTGAACTCAAATATTTGTTCATGAAATATTTAGTAAAATGAACAACCTTAAATTTTCCACGTCATAAATTATAATTTAAAGAACAAATTTAGTTAAATAATTTTCAATTAATTAGTAAACATTTCAACCGAGAAAAAATCGATTTTTAATATGTAAAGGAGGTTCTGTTTAATAAGTAAAAGTTTAAAAAAGATATTATGTTCACTATTTTTCATGACAAAATTAATTAATTTTGTTATGCTATTTTAAATAAATATAGTAACTATTTTTACCATGTATAAATGTAAAATTTGTCTGCATAAGATATCTTATCAGTAAATAGTCTACAGTTTTAAACTATTATCATCCTTCTATCTAATGTCCGTGAATTTAGCACCCGAAATTAACTGATAAGTAACCATTGATAAGAATTATGTAACCATATTGGTTAGTCATGAACATTAGGTTGCAGAACCTAAATGGTAATAAATTTAAAATTCTGTTTAGTGACTATTAATCAGTAACATTGATAATCAACTGTTAATGTTTTTTTAATTATTATTGTAATTTTGAAGATAATTTTAATGGTTTTATTTTAAGAACTTTTAATTTTATTTATTTTTATACTATTTATTTATCACCTCTTAGAATATTTTGCATTTATATATATTTTTATTAAATTTTTTTAAATAGAATGGGTATGTATTAATAATTATTTTAATTAGAGTAAATGTTATAGGGAGAATGATTTTCCCAACCCGATAATTAGTTAGTCAAAAATCTTTTCATAGTTGAAAATTTCCCTTTAAATTAATATCTTGTTTTTATTAAAGTTAGCAATAATGTTTTATACATTCTTTCTCTAAAAAAAAATTACAACAGTTTCTAGTTTTAATATCTATTTTTAAAATATTTGATTTTTAATAAATAACAAAATTCTGATATCTGATATATGTAAAATTTTCCTTTAGCTAGTTAGATACTCTTAAGGAAACTTGATTTGTTTTTGAGATATATTCTCCATTTCAATTAACATTGTCAACTAACATTTCTACTTAAATATTAATTTTTAGATCTAAGTTCAAAAATTATTAATGATTATGTGACATTAAGAACCCTTCTTCCCAAAACAATTGAAAAGTGTCAAAGTATCAATGATGGGGAATTAAATAGTCAAGTAGTATATTTGGAAAAACATTATTCATCGTAAATATAAAATGATTATCTTTTTTGTACTGTTAATTATTTAAAGAGAAGTTCATCAAAAAATTTCCAAAAGTTTTGGAATCAATCACTATATGAAATTATTACTATATTAATTTTATAAATTTTATTAACTCTTATAAATAAAAGATATATTTTAATAGAAAATTATGTTATAATAACTAATAATTTAGTTTCTATTATCTCCTATTTTAATATTACTCTTTATTAATCTAGACATTTTTCAAATATTATAAGTTGCATGCAAACATTACAATCATCCAGTTATGTTGAGAAAGGATCAATAGATCTAATGAAAAATTTAAAAAACAATTTAGAAAAAAATGTAAGTAATAGATATCTAATACTCAAATAATCAGACAATTACAATAGACCAAGCACCAGCAACCTATAGGTCATAGGCTGATTTTAACCCATTGAATATATTTTTGTGATCCTCCAAATATTTCTAAAATAATAAATTTGATTATAGCTTTTATATTTTATAAATTAAAAAAAGTATTGTTTTTTAAAGTTTAAAAATTAAGTTTCTAATTTAATTTTTCCAAAAATCATATTTATTGAATTCTTAGAAATTTTAAAAATCTTAATAGAAAAAATAATTTTCCTTGAGCTTTAACTTCCAAAAATCTACTATTCTTCTTACTAATAAAATTTAAAAAAAAAAATTGTAATCAATGATAATTTTTATTATGTTTTAGAAACAATTGGTTGAATTTCATGAAAAAAACCTTGAAAATTATGATGTTAAACTTAAAAATTTTGAAATTTTATAATTAATTAAAACTTACGTTATACAAATAAATTTTGTTTAAATATAACATTTCATTAGTTAACATGCATATACAAATTTATATTTTACTTGGCAATCATTTGATTTGCAATTCTTAAATTAACAAATAAACTCTTAAGTATAAGCACTTTGTATTTTCCTTTTTTTTTCTTTTAACCCTTAATTATTGCGTACTAAGTATACTACCCCATATTTTTTATTAAAAAAATTTTTAATAAAAATTTATAGATTAGAAATTTATAATTGTTAATAAATTATAAATATCAAGTTCATTCTAAAATTATCTCTAATAGTATATTTTAGAAATAACTTTCAAAAGGTAAGTGGGCAACCTATTATTTTTTTATCTTTTAAATAAAGAAGGGTATAAATAAAATTTTGACAGATCAATAATCAGTATTGTGTTATTACTTTTTGTGTTGTTATAATTTTTAGTTATAGACATGTGAGCTGCTCAGTGTAAAAGAATTCTTATCTATGCATTATAGTAAACATAGAGTATCACTAAACAGTTTCTATCTCACTTTCACATTATCTAAATGTTTATATGGTATTTGAACCTAAGGCTCAGGTGATTATGCAGAAATTTTAACAATGACAAAAAGCAATCACGTCCCCCCAGTATTGATGGCAACAGGAAACCACTGTACTTCACTCTTTCCTTTGTATACAACAGTTTAACTAATGTTGACTAGTGTCAAACCAACCTTCTATTTGATAAATAGAAGGATATATTACAAGTTAATTTTAATCAATTATATTTATAGTATTTCTAATTTTCACACTTACTTAGAAGACTAATATATAAAAAAGCTCTAAAACAAATTTAACTTTTAACACTTAATATTATAAAAGTCACCCCTTAAAAATACCGCTCTAGGTTCCAGCCTATTTAATATACCTCCAAAAACACCACTGTTATATTGAGGTATATAATGTATCAAGTGCAACGGTCGTTTCATGCACTAAGCGAAAATGAAGCTTAACTACAATAGTGTATATTGTATTATAAAGAATATATTATAATTATAAATTTTATTTGTATTTTAAAGAAGGTTCCCATATAAAATAATGTAAAAATGACTCATTTTCTTTGGTCAAGCATAACTATTAAACTTGAATCAATTGACTTCTAATTAATGTCAGAACATTAAAAATGTTATTAATGTCTTTTCCAATTTTATGCAAATTGGTTCAATTTAACGAAAATTATGAACATAAGGGACTTAGCTCCCATAGAGTTACTATAGCATCCCTAAAATTAAAAAAAAATAATAGGGAGAGAGAAATCAAATTGATCTCCCAAAATCGTTTTTATAAATTTACACTTATTATAAAGCATTAATATTAAGAATTTTTACTAAAAAAAAACAAATACTGTTAAATCAATTATTAAGGAAATTTTATTTGATCTCGTCACGAAAATCGAAAATTTTACTTAGTACCATAAATGATATTACAACTTCATGATGCTAAACATTTAAGAGATACATAATGGCGGGTGATTGTTTTTTTATTTAGTAAAGTTCCATTAAGTTAAAGTTTATTCAGTGGCATACCCAAGATTATTCAATGGTGCCTAATACCAAAAAAAATTTTAGTGACATTTTTTCTTACTTTAAATATTGGTTTAGAAGACTAATTGGGCTTAACTCTTATAAACCCCTAGATATTCCATTGAACCTATTTATTTAGATAGAAAATAAACGACATTAAAATATATATATAGATATTAAATTAATATCTTGCACTGATAGTGCGATGTACACTAGGGTGACCCTTAGCTACATAAGAAGTTTTTTTTTTTTTAATATTTGTAAGTGCCACCCCCTAGAATTATTCGAATACATGAAAAAATAAATTGTACAAAATTTGGAGACGATTGGTCAACTCTAAGACGTGCCCCAAGAGGGTTAAAAATAACCCTCCAAGGGTGATTTTTTAGTTTTTTATGTCTATCTCAAAAACTTTAGCTATTGCGAAAATGTTTATTTAGACTTTTTTGTAGGTATACAATTTTTCTATAAAAAGTATTTATACAAAAATTTTCGAAAAGTTCTTATTTAACCCTAAAAAAATTTTTAGTAAGTGCTGGGACCGTTCAATGTTCAAAATAATCGTACGGATTCACCAAAGTTCTTTCATTATAATGAAATAATCGTTATAACGGTTTTAGCCATTCAAATAGTTTTATTCACTTATATTGTTATTAGACATATTATCCCTTGATTAGTACATTAATAAAAAAACTTTAAAATAATAGTTATAAATTATTTTCATTGAGACTATAGCGCAAATTTAACGTACGAACTTTTGGCGGAATAACCAGACGTGTCAGTAACCGTTGACCAACAGCTTTAGTTCGCGCGATTTTTATTTGTTATTTAATTTTTACTGTGACATTTTTTCAAATTATCAACGATCGTTTTACTCTCTTTACAAATTATGTTTTGAGACATTCGCCATTTTCACAGCGACTAGATAACTTGTCAAGACTGCTCTTTATCCCTGTTCACTCTCACATATATATTTAACTGAAAAGTTCAATAAAATGTAAGTACATTTAATTTAAATTTAGGACTAAAATAATAAATAGTTATTTTAATTAATTTTAATAATAGCATATATTATTTTTTTAAAAGATAATCATACATTTTAGTAACTACATTTATTGTAATTGTAATAGATACAAGTGGTAAATTATATATTAAATTTTCACATTTTGTATTATGATTAATTATAATTATAATGCAAAATTATTTATTTTAATAAAGTACTATCGTTAGTTATGTTGTTATGAAGTTATTAACAGATACCTCAAGATTTTCCATGAGCTTAAAATGTTTTTAATCATATATCATTGTCGTTATCATCATATCCTAAGCCTTTATCCCAACTATTTGGGGTCAGCTCTAGCTTATTTTAGATCTTCTTATTTATTGATACATGTGATACAAATTACTTCTGTATTTTAATATTTAAAATGGTGCATTTTATATATTTCTCAAAATTGTATACATTGAAATACCATCTCTTAAAAAATGTTAATTTTTAATGAAAATCCCTCTATTATGCTACTTAATAATTTAAATTTATCAAACATCNCTTAAAAAACTGTTGATTTTTAATGAAAATCCCTCTATTGTACTACTCAATAATTTAAATTTATCAAACATTTTAAGTTAAAAAGAATTGCATCTATTTGAATGAAAATTATATTTCAATAATTCAAATTTTAAATAAATGAAAAGTATAAAGGTTTTCACCGTTTAACAATTAACAGGGTTTTACATTAAACAAGATTTTCATCAGACTCATTTTTGTAATTATTTGTAACCTTTATACCATTAAATCAACAAGATTTTTATACAAATCAACCTATAAAGGGCATATTTTAATCTATGAGGAACAGGCTTACATGTAGCCTAAATAATTTTAAGATATAAATAAAACTATTCATAGTAGTTTCCCAAAACAGAAATCTATATACCTAGGTTGTCTAAAATACCCAATATCCCAAACNTTTCCCAAAACAGAAATCTATATACCTAGGTTGTCTAAAATACCCAATATCCAAAACACAATTATTTTATAACTTAAATAATAACCAAAATAAAATACTTCTTATGAAATATCATGTTAATTTTACTTCACTATATCAAATAGTTACAATAAATAAATGTTGATGGATATCATGCTTTTTTAATTTCCAATATTTAAAAAATATGTCTTTTTTATAAGTATAATAAATATTTTACAAAGCATAGCCATGTACTTGATTAAACATTTGAATACTGTAACACTAAAAGGTTAATTTCTATATAGTTTATTATCTGAACCTTATGTGTTGGCGCTTAATTGTAAATTGATATAACTCAATAAACAATTTTGAACATTGAGTTCATATTAACCGGAAGTGCAATAACTAATAATAATTTATCATTTACACAAAAATATTTGAACTCCCTATATTCTTTCTTCTCCAGAAATCTGAATAAATATCTATTGACATTTATGAAATAACTTTAAAACTTTATACTCTATTGTATTAAAATATTTTTATTTAAAATAATAAAAAATAATAAATATAATATATTTACTATTATATAATAGTAAATTATAAAATTTTTTATACCCAAAGCATAGTTGTTAATTATTTTTATATAATTTATTAATTTTTTATAGGTATATTATTTTAAATAAAATTATTCTTTGGGAGCATGTTTTATTTAACTTGAAAGGTTGTTCTATTGAAGTATTCTTATCTTCCCTTCTTATTTATATCATTTGGGATACAATTACTAGAGCCTATATTAATACTGGTAAGATACCAACTATTTTAATAATGATTGATCTATAATTGTAACATTGTATATTCATAAAAATAATAATAATAATATTATTATTTTTATATATATATATATATATAATTTAATTTATTATAATTGATGAGTTATTGTTTTTTTTTCTTTCCAGAAAAATGTTTTGTTGCTTAAAGTGGGAACCATTAAAAGTTTTAGTGCATATACGAGAACAGCATTTGATTTTTGTATGACAAGAGAAATGGCCGCAAATTTTAGTTTTTGTGACAACACCAAACAAGCTTTTAATAAGCTTCACATTTTTTAGGTAATTCGTGGTATGAACATTAAACTGTAATAAAAATGCAAATTGAATATGTTAATATATTGGTAGCGCGTTAGTAAATCAAACTAAGTCTAGAAGACTAATTTTGAAACTACAAAGAAAAAATAACTTTTTAATTTATACTACATTTTTCATAGAAAAACTTGAATGATTTTGGGGTGTCGTGTGTACAGATCACGCTATGTTGGTTAAAATGCTGTCATTGAAGAAGCCATAAGGTTTCAAACAATATAAAGATTGTTGGTGTAAATCCCAAACAGACTTACTTCTTTTTATTACAGAGAAAAAATACTGGTTATATCATAGTATAATTAGTATTTTTATTCTTTTCTAAATAGCAGTTAAAAAATCATTGTATAAAAAGAAATGAAGATGATGCTACAACCTGTATACAGA